ATTTTCATGGTGCCACATCAGCAAATGAAGATCTTAAGGGCCTTACTTCATCTCCATTAGTAAAACCAAGTGGGTTTGCGGAGGCTGCTCTTTCATGTTCATAGTTTGAGTTCCCTTCAGTCTGAGAGGCTTGTCTTCTAGTACAAGTCTTGCTCCTATTCTCCGACCAGAAAGACCTTCTCCTTAGTCTACAGAAGTCCAGAAGCACCACTGAAACCTAGCCCCCATGCCTGACCCTGAAATACCAGTATCATGGTTTCCAACATTATAGCAACTGATAGATTAAATTAGTGGTGATTGGCAATGATGACCTCACAAAATCATAGTCAAATTGAAAGAAGTGAGAAATGATCAATTACGTAAGCCTTGGAAATTATTTTTAACTCAATGTTAGCTCACCCACTGCTTTCAAGTTACTTCCGGCTCTGAGGCTGTGATTTCCAGTAGGAGGAGACAGCCCATCATTCTCCCATGAACCTGCTGGTGGATTGGCATCCAGAGATGTGCAGCCAACATTAACTTAGATGAAAGTTGTGAATCACTGCACTCCACCCCATATTTGTGAACGTTCAACTGATAAGATCCAAAAATCATATCACTCTGTGTATTAGATGGCATATTCTTAACATTTTTTTTCCCAAGAAACATTTGCCAGGGGTTTACTGAGTTCTTTCTTACTTTATATTTGCGTATTTATATATTTCTAAGCATTTGCTGGTGACATTGTAGGAAGAAATTACAGTCTCTATTTTGTTAACTAGGGAAAATCGTAAAACTTTGAGCTTAATCATCCATTTGGCCCACTCAAGGTTGTTCATAGTCGGGTGAGATGCACTGACTTTTTGTCCATTTTGCTTCTTTTCAGCTACCTGGGGTTGAGGCATGTGAAAACTATACCTTTCGATATGGCCGAAATCCTCTCATGGAACTTCCTCTTGCTGTTAACCCCACAGGTTGTGCCCGTTCTGAACCTAAAATGAGTACCCATGTCAAGAGGTTTGTGTTAAGGTATTTTGTTTTAATTTCACATAGTACAGCCCAGGGTTTCTAGGCGTATGGTGGGTTTTTTTTTGTGCTTGATCTGTCTGCTGCTTAAAAACCCTGTTGTCTCAGGCTGTGTATGTGTACAACTAAGTCAGAGAAAGTGCTTTGTTGTCTCTGCTAGGTAGCTTTCAGTGTATGTTTCTGTCACTAATAATTGAATCCAACTATCTCTGACATTATTCAGAGATATCTTCAGTTTTCCTTTTTATTATTTTTTCCTTGCTCTGTCATTGCCTGCAGGCCACACACTTTGAACAGCACCAGCACCTCGAAGTCATTTCAGAGCACAGTCACTGGAGAACTGAATGCGCCTTACAGTAAGCAGTTTGTCCATTCCAAGTCATCTCAGTACCGTAAAATGAAGACAGAGTGGAAATCCAATGTGTACCTAGCCCGGTCTCGGATTCAGG